CGCACACAATCTGCTCCATGCCTTCTGTCTATGATTGATCGTTTAGTGTAGAGTTTTTTTTTTTTAGAGTAAGAGGCTTTACAGGGTTAATTGCACATATATCATGTCGCTCCGGAGGATACACAGTGATGCTGTGTGTGTAACAGAATGCGAGCGCGCTCGATGGATGATGCAGAGCTGCTCTCCTCTCTAATGAACACATTATGTAACCGACTCACAATGGTTTTCTCAAGATCCAGCAGCGTTAGTCACTCGCTGTCGGCCGTTCCGTCAAAATAACCTCATCATATGAGAAAGAAGCATTAAAGCTGCCTTATACTAAAGCACAGAGCTCTCTTTGTGAGATATACAACATGAGCATTTCTCCAAAATAAACTAATCTATTACACTAGCGGTCAGAAGTTTGGAAACACTCTTGAGTGTAAAATCCTTTTGATAGACAAATGTGAATTACGTCTACACAACAATTTTGGCCTAAAAATAGTATCTTTATATAACTAAAATGTTTTTTTTTTTTGTTTTTTTTTTGATGAATTGGAGCAGATAATTAAGGAAAAGCATTATGATGAAAACTAAAACATTATTTATTTATTTATTTTATTTTTTTAATGGATGAATTGGAGCAGATAGTGAAGAAGTATTATGATGAAAACTAAAATAATATTTTTTTTCATCATAATACTTCTTCACTATCTGCTCCAATTCATCCATTAAAAATATATTTTTTAAATAAAAATAAATAATGTTTTAGTTTTCATCATAATGCTTTCCCTTCACTATCTGCTCCAATTCATCCATTAAAAAAATAAAATAATATTTTAGTTTAAAAATGATATTATTTTAGTTAACTAAAATATTATTTTATTTTTTTAAAGGCTATAACAACTAAACTACCAAAACTAAAGATGTTATATATGAAAACTGAAAAATAAACATTAGCATTTATCCATTAAAAAAATCAAATAATATTTTAGTTTAAAAAAATTATTATTTTAGTTAACTAAAATAGCTTCTTTTTTTTTTTTAATGGATAAATTGGAGCAGATTGTGAAGGAGAAGCATCATCTCCATCTGCTCCAATTCACTCTTTAAAAAAAATGTTATTTCCTAAAATAATATTTCCTCTAGTTTTTAAAATCAGCTTATGAAGTTCGATGATGAATGTCCAGAGCTGGAATTGCATTATTTATGTAATGAATATATCAGTTTTTACGACTTCACAATTCTAACATGTGGAAAAACAGTCCAAACTCAGACTGGTACATAAAAGTAAAAAGTATAATAATAACATATAGAAAGCATATAGAAAGCATGCATTACATGTATTTTTCCAAACTAATAAACTTACTTCAAACTAAATTAAAGAAACAGATCTACAGCATTTTTGTCACCAGTTCATTTGCATCTTCTGCAAAACTTCAGCTGCACTGTAATAATAATGAACCACTATTTAAAAGAGAAAAAGTTGTGTGTGGAGGTCTGCAGTGGTCTGGTCACTCACCGGTGAGTTTGGGGTCCGTCTTGCGGCGGAACCGCTCTTTAGCGCGGAGTTTGGAGAAGGTTCTTTTAAGCAGCGGCTCGGCCATCACTGAAGCGCCTCAGAGCCGCTCATTCACGGGACCTCCGCCGAAACACACGGAGCAGCGCGGAGCCTGAGCGGAGGAGCGGGGCTCATGATGCCAAACACAGGAAACACATTCCGCGCATTCCACTGCTGGGAGACGGTCACGTGCAGCCGCGAGGCATCACGGGAGATGTAGTTCACTGCAGTGTTACTGCGAAAATAAAAATACTGCAATACTTCCATTTCTAGAACAGGAACTAGACCTAATATCCAAAAATTTTCCTCATTCTTAAATAATAATTAAACTACCAAAACTAAAGACGTTATATTGTCTACACCAGGGGTGCCCAACCCTGTTCCTGGAGATCTACCTTCCTGCAGAGTTCAGTTCCAACCCTGATCAAACACACCTGTCTGTAATTATCAAGTGCTCCTTCAGATCCTAATTAGCTGGTTAAGCTGTGTTTGATCAGGGTTGGAGCTGAGCTCTGCAGGAAGGTAGATCTCCAGGAACAGGGTTGGGCACCCCTGGTCTACACAAATGTGACCCTGGAGCACAAAACCAGTCATAAGGGTCAATTTTTCGAAATTGAGATGTATACATCATCTGAAAGCTGAATAAATAAGCTTTCCATTGATGTATGGTTTGTTAGGATAGGACAATATTTGGCCGAGATACAACTATTTGAAAATCTGGAATCTGAGGGTGCAAAAAAATCTAAATATTGAGAAAATCTTCTTCTTCTTAGCAATGCATATTACTAATCAAAAATTAAGTTTTGATATATTTACGGTAGGAAATTTACAAAATATCTTCATGGAACATTATCTTATAACGTTCTTATAGGGTGAATTCAGGTAAAGTGGGCCACTTTTTGTAAAAACGTGTAATATAGATACCTATGTTTTTTTCTTTTCTTTATTGCTTTTATTAACTTTAAGTTCCAGCTATAATATTTCAATTTGAATAGAGTTCATATAAAGTGTTACTTGCAAGGTATAAACATTTTGAGATCATGCACTCCAGACAAATTTCTTTTCAGGTAAAGTGGGCCACCCCTTATTTATCAACAATTATTCAGCATCTTAATTAAAAACATATGATTTATTAACACATATTATCAGACAAACATATTTAACAAACCCAAAAATGCATAACCTATAGGTTATGAGTAAAATTTAAAATCTTAATTCATGTGTGAAATTCCAAAGAACTGATAGAACATGTGTTGACATAAATTTTTATGAAATCTGAATATCGGAATATTAAGAAATCAGAATATTGATAAAATGAACTCTACAATATATTCAAAATGTGACTATAACACAAGCAACAACAAATAGGCAAAAAAAGAATAAAAAGAACATTTATATAAATAGTAACCATATGTAAAAATGTTTTCTATCTCTGTTCTCTAAACACTTTAAAAGAACTTTAATAGTGTTCATATTTTAAGCTTTATATTCTGCATCTACACTTTGCTCCTCTCATCCTTTCTTCACTCCACAGATTAAACTTCATGCCTCACTTTCCTTTCTATTCTCTCTTTACTTTCTTCTATCTCTGACTTGAATTTCCTGACTGCAGTCTCATTTCTGTTTTCTAAAAAAGTAAATTATACAAGTCAACTATAAAATATCCAACGAATGTCGATTTATTTAATGAATTTGGGTATAATTACTGAAGGTTAAATGTCGACCCACTTTACCTGAATCTGGCCCACTTTATCTAACACATTCAGCCAAAGTGGGCCAGCAATATTTAAACACCTTACAAGAAAATGAACCAATGTTTTAAAATGTTGGGTTGTTTTGAACCAGCTGTTGGGTTGTTTTGACCCAGCGGTTGGGTTGTTTTGACCCAACTGTTGGGTTGTTTTGATCCAGCGGTTGGGTTGTTTTGACCCAACTGTTGGGTTGTTTTGACCCAGCTGTTGGGTTGTTTTGAACCCAACCGCTGGGTCGAAACAACCCAATAGCTGGGTTTGTCCCTTTTTAACCCAGCGCTGGGTTATATTTAACCCAGCATTTTTTAGAGTGTACTATTTGTTTCCATTTAGTGAGCAACCTTATAATTTAGAAATTAAAATCTTAAATTGAAGGGTTTTCTTCCTTTCACCATAAGGCAGTCCAAACACCAGTGTCATATTGCATCAACCAAAACAATTTTATCATTTAGAGAAATAGTGTCCCTTTAATTAAGAACTGGTGTTACGCTCTGAAACTGTAAATCCATTGAACACAATACAATCAAGCTTAAATGGCCCACTTTACCTGAATTCACCCTAACCTAAATTTGTTACCTGGGCTGATAGACAGATGAACAAACGTTCTTCCAGTAACGTTATCTGGTCTTAAATAATGTTCTCAAAACGTTGGTAACAAAAACATTACTTATACATCATATCCAAAAAATAAATACGGCAATAATACATAGATGATAGATTAATTTGCTAAAAAAAAAAAATCATGTTACAGCAGCGCCACCTGCCGGTGCAAATGATGCAAACCTAAAGGTCTGTTCAACACAAACGTGTAAACAACATACTGCAACCACGTTCATTACACATGCATATGCACATTCTAGTTTGTATTACAAATTCAAACACAGATATATTTAATACATTAATATTATTATGACTATTAACATTTAAAACTTCTTTGCACTTTGCAGTTCACACTTTCTCTATGATCAAAATAGTTTTCCATAACCCATCAGTGATGTGCATTACTCATATCAGAGTTCATTAATTATGTATGATGGGCAGTATTTCATATGCTGCATGTTTATGATGCATCAGCACCCGGAACTGCAGCTGAACTTCATCTGACAAGAAACACTTCAGCGGCAGCTCATCATAAAGGTCTTATTCATGTGACATTTAAAGCGTACATAAGTGTGTTTACATTGTATATTGTATGTATATATTATATTATACGCGCATATATTAATGTAAGTGAGTTGTGTGTGTTTCAATGGCGCACACATTAAACCCGCTGGTTATTAAAGTTGGACACTAAAGAGGCTTCTCTCCGCAGGTTCCTGCTGGATGATGATGATGGGGTCAGCAAATAAATACGGCAATAATACATAGATGATAGATTAATTTGCTAAAATTATGTTACAGCAGCGCCACCTGCCGGTGCAAATGATGCAAACCTAAAGGTCTGTTCAACACAAACGTGTAAACAACATACTGCAACCACGTTCATTACACATGCATATGCACATTCTAGTTTGTATTACAAATTCAAACACAGATATATTTAATACATTAATATTATTATGACTATTAACATTTAAAACTTCTTTGCACTTTGCAGTTCACACTTTCTCTATGATCAAAATAGTTTTCCATAACCCATCAGTGATGTGCATTACTCATATCAGAGTTCATTAATTATGTATGATGGGCAGTATTTCATATGCTGCATGTTTATGATGCATCAGCACCCGGAACTGCAGCTGAACTTCATCTGACAAGAAACACTTCAGCGGCAGCTCATCATAAAGGTCTTATTCATGTGACATTTAAAGCGTACATAAGTGTGTTTACATTGTATATTGTATGTATATATTATATTATACGCGCATATATTAATGTAAGTGAGTTGTGTGTGTTTCAATGGCGCACACATTAAACCCGCTGGTTATTAAAGTTGGACACTAAAGAGGCTTCTCTCCGCAGGTTCCTGCTGGATGATGATGATGGGGTCAGCGGGTCTGATCGGGTTTCTGCGCGCGCTCTTCTCCGGTTGTTCGCCGGTCGGGATCCTCGCGCTCTCCGGTGCGACGCTCCTGTGTGCGCTCGCGACGCGTCTCGCCCTCAAACGACGCGCGCTGCGGTGCTTCAATCAGCCGCCGCAGAGAAGCTGGATCATGGGCCACATGGGACTAGTGAGTTTAGTTAAATGTAACATTTTTTTAAATGTAACAACTTGTTTCACAATGTTAAAAAGTAACAACATAACGCTTTCATAACGTTCTATCATATTTTGTTAGCTGGTAAAATCCACTATAGTATCTTTTTTTAATAACAAATCTATAATATTTGAGGGTTTTCATTGGCATATTTTGCATTTGCATACTCATATATTCCTATTATAGTCGAGTCTCTACCTTAAACTGTATTTTTGGTCTACCAGTGGAGGAAACGTTATTGCTCAAGAGGCTAACAACAGGGAACATGGAAGTCAGAAACTGACATTGCATTGCTTTTAAGTTGCACAAGCATATATGCAGTGAGCAACATCATGCATTTGGCAGGCAAAGCAGAAAAACAGGTTCTTCAGAAGCCACACATATGAAATTGTGGCCTGTTCAGATAATGTTATGGATTAATTCATCAGCTGAAGTGCTTTCAAATGAAATAACGATAGTCCCTCACTGTATGAAGATACAGGAGCTAGACATTTACTGCACTGCTGTGCAAAAGATCACTATCTGAGTTTTTCAGAACTGCTTTCCTCATGGGTGATAATTCAGCATTGTTGCCCGGGCCAGGCGTGTTATTTGCATGTTTATGCACATGTAATGCTGTGTGTGTGCATGTTCAGAGCAGCATTCTACCAGGATACTCCTGTGTATGCAAACTTTCTGTATGCATGCAAAAACAAGGTGATTTGCTACATTTGTCAGATGAATGTGCAGAACTGCAATTCGACTGTCATTTCCAGTGTGTCGAATAAACAGGAAGCAGATCTAATATCCACTGTTTTTCCTCATTCTTAATTAATAATTGCCAAAACTGCCAAAGCTGAAGACACAAATGCAGATTGTTCAGGGAACATTCAAAAGTAACGTTCTCATAATGTTTGCAAAATGATCAAATGGAATGTTCGCTTAACATTCGCAAGAAAAAAGATGACAATGTAGCATACTATTATTTGTAATGCTTTGTTGCAAAACACGTACTGTTTCACACACTATTCAAAAGAGTATGCAGTATGTATGCAGTGAGCATCTGGACAGTTTTTATGTGTTTTTTTAGTGTAAACTTCAAAGTCAGAGTGCATTATTGTCATTTTTTTCTCAGTCTGGCAGTAGCAGAACATAAAACACTTCACATGATGTCGAGTGTTAAAGCCACAGGAGCCGTAATTATAACGCTTGTGCTTTTAGCGGAAGCCCGCGAGAGATTTTCCTCTGCTGTGTGTTTCAGATGGGCCATAATGAAGAGGGACTGCAGGCCGTTGATGATCTGATCAGGAGGTACGTTCACTCCTGTGCCTGGTATCTGGGTCCGTTCTACAATATGGTCCGACTTTTCCACCCAGACTACATCAAATCCCTTCTGACAGCCTCAGGTAAGAAACACACACCGCATAACCACAAACAATGTACACTAACAGATGCTTTCTCATCAAGTTTAGGATGAGTTTGTTTCTTCATCAGGTTTGTAGAAATGTAGCATTGCATCAGTGTCTCAGCAATGGATGCTCTGCAGTGAATGAGAACATTTTCAGCACATTTAAAATTTAAACACAACCCATAAAAACCAAACAGAATGAACATCAAGTCTCTGTTCAATGACCTGCTGAGTCATTGTGAAATATTCCCAGAAGTTCATCTCGGGTGTCTGTGTGAAGGGTGAGGCGAGTGTTTCTGCTGTGAGGGTCACATGAATTATTGCAGCAGTCGCTGTGTAATGTTCACAAATGCGTTCCAGCGCGTTTGAGCACATCACTAGTGTGTAAAAGATTATCGGTCGCTATGAATTCAGTGTTGTAATAACATTAAACTCTTTATATTTGTTCTGGCAGCAAACATTACTTTCAAAGACAAGATCTTTTATGGGTTTATGAAACCTTGGTTGGGTAAGTGATGTCCAAACACACATCTGAACACACACTCTCGGTCCTAAATATTATGCAAGAATTACAGTACTGCTTAAAAGTTTGGGGTCAGTTACAATTTGTTTTGAAAGAAATTAATACTTTTATTCATTTACACATTAAATTGATCAAATGCGGCGATAAAGACATTTATAATGTTACACAAGATGCAAGATTTCGATTCATCTGTGAATCCTGAAAAATAAAATGCATCACAGTTTCCACAAAAATATTGTGCAGCACAACTGTGTTCAACATTGATAATAATCAGAAATGTTTCTTGAGCAGCAAATCAGCATATTAGAATGATTTCTGAAGATCATGTGACACTGAAGACTGGAGTAATGATGCTGAAAATACAGCTGCGCATCACAGAAATACATTACAGTTTAACAAATATTCACATAGAAAACAGCTGTTTTAAATTCTAATAATATTTCACATTTTTACTGTTTTTACTGTATTTTTAATCCAATGAATGCAGCCTTGGTGAGCAGAAGAGACTCTTTCAAAACATTAAAAAGTGTAACCGACCCTAAACCTTTAAACAGTAAGTTTCTCTCTGTATAAAGCACTTCCTGTGTGTTTTCCAGGCCATTGTCTTCTGCTGCAGAACGGTCAGGAATGGTCACGCCATCGACGACTTCTGACTCCTGCGTTCCACTTCGACATCCTCAAAAAATATGTTCACATATTCAACCAGTCCACCAACATCATGCATGTATGTCAAACGCACACAAACATTTAAAATCTACATTTATAGATTGTCAACACCATTCATCTCTAGTTGCACTTAATTGCATTAATCTTTTGTGCACGTGAGGTTGCACAATGCTGCAAAGCTGCAGATTTTGTAACGATAATCTACTGTGGCGACAGTAATTGTGTGTTTCGTGCAGTTTCACACATCTCACAGATACAGTGTTTGCATTGGCAGTGCCAACCGACCGCACGCAAGCCAACTGCTGAGCCACAATGAGTTTAATCACATTTATCACAGCAGCTGAAACACTCAAGATATTCATCTGAGAACAGGGAACAATACAGAGTGAATCTCACAAAACACTTCCAGGTCATGATTTCACTGCAAAATCAAGAGAATGAAATGAGGAAATACATTTGACATAAAGTTAATAAAGCCTCTTTTTTATTTGTTCTCTTTCCATTTCAGTGTTATCATTGAGAGACTATTGTAGTGTTTAGTAGTATTTTGAATCAGCTTTTCTTTTTATTATTTTATTTAAAACTATAAGATTTTAACAATTTTGTTTGTTTGGTCTTTTTTTTGTTTTTTTTTTAATGTCTATATAGTTTTTATTTTTAGTTAGTGGCAACTAGCTGAAAAAAATATTAATTTGAGGCTTTTTTATATTTTATTTAAATTTGAATTTATTTCAAGTAGTGAAATGTTTTGTTATAGTTTTAGTTTTAATTCGTTATAAAAAATCTGTTTCAGTTTAATTTTAGTTAAAGTGTTAGTAATATTGTTGTTGTTTTTTATTTTTAGTTATTTTGTGTTTGTTTGTTAAAATATGGCTATTTAGTTTTTATTATTATTATTAGTTTTCAACTTTTTTATATTTTACTTTATTTCAGTTAACATTATTTATTGTAGTGTTTGGTAGTATTTTGAATCAGTTTTTCTTTTTATTATTTTATTTAAAAATATGGCTATTTAGTTTTTATTTTTATTTGTTTTAGTTATTTTAGTATTCAACTTAAACTACAACTTTTTTATATTTTACTTTATTTCAGTTATCATTACAAAAATGTATGTATTTATTTATTTTATTTTAGTTTTATTTAACTATAATAACCCCGATTGTGACATTATTTTCATGCAAAATTTATTAAAATATTCCCCAGATTCCCAATACAGTATTTTAATGTTCTTAAAATATGCTTCATATTCTCTAAGCAAAATATTATTTCTCATTTCCTTTTGTGAAATTGCGACCTGGACGTGTGTTTTTTTGGAGGGTTTTTTGTGCATCTTTTCCTATTTTTAGGGGAGCCATCAGCAGTCATCATCACAATAGCATTTGTGTTTTCACGCAGAAGATGAATGTGTGTGTGTCTGAACTGAAGTGTGATTATCAGCGGTTTGTTCTTGCTGTGTGTTTGTTGTGTGATTCAGGCTAAATGGCGCCGCCTGCTGGCTGAGAAGCAGAACAGTCTGGATATGTTTGAGCACATGAGCTCCATGACGCTGGACAGTCTGCTCAAATGCACCTTCAGCTGTGACAGTCACTGCCAGGGGTGAGTGAGTCTGTACATCATACACCGATACAACAAATCTCACTCGCAAACTCACGTCTGTCTCTCTCTCAGGAAACCCAGCGAATACATTGCAGCCATTCTGGAGCTGTCTAAACTGCTGGTTCAGAGGCAGCATTACCTTCCGTATCACTGGGACTGGCTGTACTGGCGCTCCGAACCGGGACGGCGCTTTCGCAAGGCGTGCAACATCGTGCATCAGTTCACGGCTAAAATCGTGCAAGAACGCCGTTCCCAACTCGATCAGCAGGGGTCCGCAATGAACCGCACGGAAAACCTGGAATACACTGGAGGATACAAGAAAAAAGACACGGATCTCATTGATTTACTGCTGCTGTCAAAAGCAAGTGTTTTTAAACAACCTTCTGCTCAGCAGGACTGCATTAATTTGATCAAAAATACAGTAAAAATTGTGAAATGTTATTATGATGTAAAACAACTGTTTTCTAAGTGAATATCTGTTAAACTGTAATGTATTTCTGTGATGCGCAGCTGTATTTTCAGCATCATTACTCCAGTCTTCATTGTCACATGATCTTCAGAAATCATTCTAATATGCTGATTTGCTGCTCAAGAAACATTTCTGATTATTATCAATGTTGAACACAGTTGTGCTGCACAATATTTTTGTGGAAACTGTGATACATTTTATTTCTCAGGATTCACAGATGAATAGAAAGTTCAAAAGAACAGCATTTATTTGAAATAGAAATCTTTTCTAACATTATAAATGTGTTTACTGTCACTTTTGATCATTTTAATGCGTCCTTAATGAATAAAACTTAATTTCGTTTTTTACCCCAAGCTTCTGAATGGTAGTTTATCACAGTTTCCATAACAATATTGTGCAGCACAACTGTTTTCAACATTGATAATAATCAGAAATGTTTCTTGAGCAGCAAATCAGCATATTAGAATGATTTCTGAAGATCATGTGACACTGAAGACTGCAGTAATGATGCTGAAAATACAGCTGCACATCACAGAAATACATTACAGTTTAACAGATATTCACATAGAAAACAGCTGTTTTAAATTCTAATAATATTTCACAATTTTTACGGTATTTTTGATCAAACAAATGCAGCCTCAGTGAGCAGAAGAGACTCTTTCAGAAACACTTAAAAATCTTAATTCTTCTAAGTTTTGGCCACCAGTGTGAAGAAGTGTTTCGTTGATGTATTCAGGATGAGAACGGCGAGGGACTCACGAACGAGGAGATCCAGGCTCATGCAGATATGTTCATGTTTGCTGGTGAGTCTAGCGCTCACATTCATTGGTTCTGTGTGTGTTTGGATGATGAAGCATCACTGGCGTCTTCATCAGGTCACGACACCACCGCCAGCGCCCTCTCCTGGATCTTCTACAACCTGGCAATGCATCAGGATCATCAGGAGCGCTGTCGAGCTGAAATCAGATCAGTGCTGCGAGACGGAGACGAACACGACATCAGCTGGTCAGAGAAAGTCGTTTCAGAATAACGATCAATCAAACAGGAGTCTTACTGCATGCACACTGCACACATTCTACTGCATACTATTTTAAAGAAATAGTATGTGAAACCATATGCATTTTTATTCTACAACACATAAACAATTGTATGATACATTGTTGTCGCATGACATCGTGTTTAATTCAGCAAGTAGCATGCTATAATCTAGGACACATCAAAATAAAATGAAGGAATCAGCCATCAATTTAATAATTTAAACACAAAAATGGAATTTAAAACTGCTTATTAATTGTGTTAAAATATACAATAAATTAATAAATAATTTTTAAATTGATATATCTGAAATACATGTTTTAAAATAAAACCATAAATTAGTCAAATAATAAAATGCATCCAGTTATATAATCCCAGAAATAAATATGGTTATTTTGCATTTTTATTTATTATTATTATTATTATTTTGTAAGTTTTAAAATGTAGTTAAAATAAAACAATAAATTAAAAATAAAAAGACACATTCAGTAAATTCATCTTTTAAAATGCAGTTAAATAAAACCATAAATGTGTCAAATAATAAATCATTTTTAAATGCATCCAATTATAATGTCAAAAATAAATATGGTTATTTTGCATTTTTAATAGTTTTCTGTAAAAAAAACTACGTTTTAAAATGTAGTTAAGATAAAACAATAAATGACTAAATCATTTTTAAATTGAAGAAATAAAACTGATTAGTAATGCAGTTAAATAAACAAAACAATACAATAATAAATCATTTTTAAATGCATCCACTTATAATCTCATATATGAATAAATTGTTAATTTTCATTTTTAACGGGTTTTTTGTAAAACTAATAAATAAACTGTTTTGTTAAATCTTGTTTTAAAATTGCAATTAAATAAAACTAAAATAGTCAAAAAATAAATATTTTTTAAATGCATCCAATTATAATCTCAAAAATCAATATGCTTATTTTGCCACAAAAAAAAAAAGAGAGCGAGAGATGTTAAAAATGACCTTCGGACACACATCACACTGGAAATGAAGGTCAAGTCAAGCACATTGCATCGTGGGACACAGTGTTTCTGTATAGTTGTATACTGCACATTTTGACAGACGTAGCACATCATCTACGCATACTGTGCTCAGACATCATACTGCAGATGTAGTAAGAGTGGTGTGGTAGTATGTTATTATGAAGGTCAGCAGTGAATGGGCATGTTTGGAATGAAGTACTGACTGTGATTCTGTGCTGTGATTGGCTGTAGGGAGGATCTGAGTCAGCTGCCCTTCACCACTATGTGCATCAAGGAGAGTCTGAGGCTTCACTCGCCCGTTCTGGCGCTCACCCGCTACTACTCACGAAACATGAAGACGCCCGGAGACTGCGTCATTCCCCAGGGTCAGAGCGTCACACACACACACACACACACACCTGACTAACACTATGACTGCTGAAGCATTGCATCATGATGATGAGCTTCACACTGCTGCATTTGTCTGTCTGCAGGATGTCTCTGTTTGATCAGTATTTATGGTGTCCATCGAAACCCTGAAGTCTGGCCCGATCCAGAGGTGAGTGGACTTTACTGTTAGTATTTATTAATATTTTAAGTTTTTTTTTAAGTTTAATTTTACTTTGTTTTTAGTCATTTTGATGTTTTTATTAATTTTTTTTTTTTATGTCTAGTTGCATTTTTAGTTACATTAATGAAACAAATCATGTATTTATTATTTACATTTTATTTATATAATTTTTTTATTATTCATAATTATAATAACAAATAAATTCACTTTTTTTTTCAGTTAGCTTCGAAGGTAACTTATTTAATTTTCTAGAATCAGTATTTAATTTAATATTTATATTTTATGTAATTTATTTTTATTTCAATTAATGAAAATGTTTAAGAGTTCTAGTTTTTGTTTAATGATAACAACACTGCACTGAGCTAAATATATACCGGAAGTGTTTTCTCCTCCTTTTAAAACCTAATACATTTGTTTATTTTGTTATTATAACACTGCATGATTATATGTTCAGTTGCATTTCAGGGTTATTAACTAAAACCAAAACCACAAAAAAACTTCAACTGAAAAAAAATTGATATATAAAAACTATTATTTCAGCTAGTTACCAAGGTAACATTTCTCATTTTCATTGAGTTTTACTTGATGTACTAAAGTAACTAAAACTAATAAAATATTAATAAAAATGATGTAGACATAATGATTAAAAATAAAAAATTACTAAAACATTACTAAAATGAAAACAGATAAAATAATTCAAAATATTAATAAAAATACTAATATTATCTTAATGATACTGAAATAAAATGGTGGCATTTTATTATCCAAGCAGACCTGAGGTGTGTTTTTGGTGGTGACGCACAAGTTGAGCAGCACGGCTCTGATCTGCAGTGAATGGATGAGTTATCAATGAGTTTTTCTCTGTGCAGGTTTACGACCCCATGCGCTTCGACCCGGAGAACTCACACGGACGCTCGCCTCACGCTTTCATTCCCTTCTCAGCGGGACCCAGGTACA